AGCGCTCCCATGTAGTTCAGCACCGCGTCGGGGAGGCCCGAGTCTGCGAGAACCTCTAAGAGGAAGTCCTGTCCGACGCTGGGAAACGCCGCAGCGAAGTCGAAGAAGACTGCGGCGCCGTCTGGTTCCGTCAGCGCGGTGATCTGCATCGCCTCATCCACGTCTACCACGTTGGCGAGCAGGGAGCGGCCGCCGATGAACCCGCGCTGCTCTGGCGAGACGACCTGGGCGAGGAGGGGCTCGAGGCGGCGGCGCACAGCTCCAGCCAGCAGCCGGTTGTCCGTATTGACGAGGCTCAGAGGGCGAGTGTCGCCCGGCGCGTAGTGCGGCGTCCCGTCGGCCCCCGCGCCTGTCGCCGCTTTCGGCAGGAAGACCATCAGGCTGTCGTTGTAGCTCGGGAGGTCCCGCACGATGGCCTCGTTTGCCCCCGGGCTGCAGAGCTGGCCGTAGGCGCTGTGCAGGACGTCCGCAGCCAGGGGGCCGAGTCGCTTCCACGCTGCGAACGGTAGCCCGTCTGGGCCAGGCGCGGTCGACGGCGCGGAGTCCAGCGCTTCCTGCACGTCGCTCAATTGGAGGCGCCATCGCGGGTCCTCGACCGGCGGAGGCGACGGGCCTCCGCGCTCCGCCCGGGCGCGCCGCTCGTCGAGCAGCCACTGCCGGCGGAGACGTGCGTCCAGGGGTCGCGCGCGGAAGGTCGTTCTCCAATGATCCCTCAGAGCGTCTGCCATTGCTGCAGGGCTCGTGACCACCTCGCCCGCGCGATTCAGCACGGCGGCAAGGGACCGGCAGCGCCCAGGCGCCAACCTCGCCAGCAGCTGCCAGTTCCGACTGCGTCGTACGGCTGCTTGGTGGGCGTCCAAAGTTGGCAAGTCCGCCCGGAGCCGGCGCAGCTCTTCCAACGCGTGCTCGCGAGCCAGCTCCACTGCATGATCCCGAACCGCCTGCAGGCGGCCTGCCGCGCGCAGCTGAGGCGAGTAGGGGTTGTTTACCAGCTGGGCCAGATGTGGGTATCGCTCCAGGCAGCGACTGATGCGCCCCAAATGGCCGCCCTCGGCAGCCCGCAGAAATTGCATCGTGACCCCAACCCGGTCTTCTGTAGCCTCGGCCGGGTGCCCGTGCGCCATCTGCCTGGCCAGTGCCGCTGCGACTGCCTTCATCGCTTCCTTGAGCAAGGCCAGACGGCGGGTTTGGAGGATGTATTGGGCGCCGCGGCCGCTCCAGAGCGTTCCGGAACGCTCTGAGAGCGCTCCAGAACGCTCTGGAGCGATTTATCCCGATCCTAGCCCTGTTTTACCTAGACCCCTCGCGTCGTGAACAAAGCCAGGACGGACAGTGTTTCACTATTTTCGGCCTCTGGGGGCCCTTAAGCCAGGCCTCGGGGCCGTCAGGGAATGGCTCGAAGCCTCTGGGCCGGGGGTCGACGTCATGAACAAGTCATGACGTCGGGGGTCTGGGTCGAGAAGAGCTTCTGCACGCGCACGCGGCACCCGCGCACCGACCAAACGATGTGTGCGCGCCCGCTTCCTCCGCCGGGGAGGGGGGCAACCGTGCCCGTCCTGGTCTCGCTGATCCTCTTCGCGATCTCGCTGGGCCTTCCGGTCCTTGATCTGCTCTATGATCACCTCTGGCGGCGTGGACGAAAGGAGGGGCGCAGGACGGGGGCGAGCAATGCGCGGGAGAGGGCAACGGCCGCGGGCAGGGAGGATCAGGAAACTGTGCTGGGCAAGCGGGCGACGGGGCAAGGGGGGGGAGGGCGGGAAGGAAGAATGCTTCAGCACGCCGCGCCCGCGACTGCAGTCATCGTACTGCAAGCAACACCGGATGAGGAACGAAGGGGCTTTTCTCGCCGCGGCGAGCCTCGGCCACGAATGCGCTCCCCGACCCAAATCTGATAAGTCAGAGCCCCTCCTGAGCCCTGGGTGGCCCTTGCTCCAGCGTCTTGGCCACGCAAGGGAGTTGGGAGGGGGGGGGGAGGGGAGTTGCTTTGTGGCCCCCGCGCGCGGCCGTCACTGTGTGGGTCCCAGGTGTGCCCCCCCCCCCCTCCCCCAGACACGAATGGCCGCCTCCGCCCCAGCCGGGGGCGCGCCGGGGAGATCTCGAGCCGGCCCGCCGGGGAGCCCCTCACTCGGAGGAGGGGCCGTGGGGGAGAGGGAGAGCTGCCAGGCGGCGCCAGCCAGGACCGCAGGAGGGCGATGAAGGTTGAGGGAGGGAGGCGGGAGGCGGGAGGGGGGAGGAAGAGGGAAGGGGGGATGGCGGCGGGGAGGGGCAGGTGGGGGATGGGGTGGGGAGGTTGCGAAGGGAGGTGGTGCTTGGCGAAACGGGAATGGGGGGAGTGCAGATGGGGGAGCGGAGGGGGGATGCAGAACAGGAATGATGACGGTGGGGAGGAGGAGGAGGAGGAGGAGGAGGAGGAGGAGAAGGAGGAGGAGGAGGAGGAGGACAAACAAAGTGATCCCAGCACCCAAGTCTTCCATCCAGGCAACTGCTCGAAAGTCCAAATCTTCGGGGCAATCGCAAGTGCAAGAATCCAATTCTAGATCACGGTATTCCAAGATGACCCGCAATCCGTTCGCGTGATTCTTTGTGTGCGATCGCCTTTTGGCCAAAAGTGAGCAATGACCAAATCTCAGGCGAGGCTCGGTTTCGCAAAGAGGCTGCCCTCCATATGCGTAGCTGGGGAAGAATCAATCGTGGGCAAGAGCTGTATCTTATGACCAGGCTCAGCATTCGACGTATATAACATATAACAGCTTGATAATATAATCTTCCACATCGTGAACCACATTAGCAGACGTCGTGCGATGACCAGACGCTGGAAACGGCCCGTTCGCCATATTCTGGGCGTCAGAATATCACAGCGCGAGCGGGCCAGACGTTGCAAATGAGCGGGCGAAGGCCGCTTTCGAAAACGGTCCGCCCTCCAACGACGATCGCGACGACGATGACGGCTGTGGCGGCGGCAATCGACGACGACGACAACGACGACGACCACGACGACGACGACGAAGACGACGACGCTGACGACGAGAACCACGATCGACGACGGACGGCGGACGGCCGACGACGCCGACGACGACGGCGAGGGCGGCGACGTCGACGAGCCACGGCGGCGGCCGCCGACGACGGCGAAGATCGGCGGCGGTCGGCGGCGGCCGTCGGCGGTCGGCGGCGGCGGCGGCCTTGGAGCCGCTGCGCTGCTGCTCGAGGCGCTCCCGCTCGCGCACCTCGTACGTCCGGAGGGCCTTGAGCCTCGCGCGCCCGCTGATGGTTTTTTGCGGCGGGGCGGTTCCGCGCGTTCCGCGGGGGGTAGGGGGGTGGGGGGGGGCTCCTCCTCCTCCTCCTCCTCCTCCTCCTCCTCCTCCTCCTCCTCCTCCTCCTCCTCCTCCTCGTCCTCCCCCTCCTCCTCCTCCTCCTCCTCCTCCTCCGCCTCCTCCTTCCCCTCCGCGGGGAAGCAGAGAGAGAGGAGGATGCAAGGCAGGTCGGGGAAGGAGCAGAAAAGGGGGGGGAGGGAGGCAGGGAGCAATGGGAGGAGGAGGAGGAGGCGGGGAGGAGGGGAAGGAGGAGGGATGGGGGAGGGGGAACTGCGAGGAGGAAGTGTGAACGAAGGGGGAGGAGGAAGACACGAGAAATCCTTAGAAGACCAGTATATGACGGACATGGGGAGAAACAAAAAAGAACGGAGTATGAAACACGAGAAAGGGACATGTAGGAGGAATGAAGGATGATGAAGAACACAGGGCGGAACGGAACACAACGCATGGTCTTCCAACTATGCTGCAATACGCCCTTCCGCCCGACATCACCTCATCATAAATCTGCCGACCCTGTCGGCGTGTGTGAAACGCTCTACCGTTTGAATCGTCGTCGTCGTCGTCGCTGTCGTCGTCGTCGTCGTCGTCGTCGTCGTCGTCGTCGTCGTCGTCGCTGTCGCTGTCGTCGACGTCGTCGACGTCGTCGTTGTCACCGCTCACTCCTTTCTCTGGGTCCTCCTCCTCGAACCCGCCAGCGAAAAGGAAATCGAGCAACACCGCAATCGAGTCGAAGGGGGTCCCTTCTCTCTGATCCCTTGCCCGCTGAGGAACGGTCTGGGGGTCTCGTTCCCCAAGTGGATGGTTTCGTTTCCCAGTGGAACGGTTCGCTTCACATTGGAGATGAAACAAATGTGAAGGATCTGTTCCCAGGTAGGGAGTGTTACTGACTGTTACTTTTGGTGGGGCACGCCCGAAGCCTCTCTGACGCCTTTTCAAAAAGAATGGCCACTCCATGAACTAGCTTCAAAAAGACCGTTTCGTTGCTCATGATCGCCAACATGTTGCCTGGAAACAACACCTTGCAACATGGGGTGCTAATGGGCAAGCTTGCTCTCAGGAGTCCTGAAGCACGTCGCGTTTTTCCCTTGAGGTGCCTTTCCCAGGGATCGCGGCCTGTTCTTACAGGGGAAGATCTTGCGCCTCAAACTGTCCCCCTGGCCCACAGTTTAGAACGTGCCTCCCGCCTGATACTTTTTCACAATGTATGGAACAAACTTAAAACGACACTTGTTGTTGCCGTGCTTGGTTTCCAACGGCCGCTTCCAGGAACCAAGGGTGTCAGCAGAAACGATCGGGGAGCCAGACGCGGTTCCCAAGAAAGAAAGGGGTACCCTGGGACTCGGGGATTGTAAAAGCCGCGCCGGTCGGATGCCTGGGCCAGGAAGGGATGTGCACTGGTCTTGGGCCCCAGGGTCGGCCTGACAATATTCCTTCCTTTGTTCCCCCCCCCCTGGGTCGTCCTGACCAAGTTTGCTGTGTGTGTGTGAGCGGGTAGGTAGTTGGGCCGCCCCGAGCGGGCATCCATGCCTCTGGACCCCGTCCCAAGGTCAAACCTTTCATCATGCGTCGTTTCAAGACGACCTGGGAAGGCCCGGAACGGTGAGCAGCACCATCCAGCCGTTTCTTTTGTCCCGCGGCGAGGGAAGGCCACGAGTGGGAGTCTAGTAGGTGTGGGCGCTCTGTGGCGTCCTACAGCTCGGCCTTCTGGAGCTCGTGCCCACCATTCCACGGGCGATCACCGTGCGCGTGCAGCCAGAGGTTGCACACCCACTTGGTTCCCGCCGCGACGGGCATGCCACCATGCAGCGACAGCTCGTCGAGATTGCCGTCGGGCAGCATCGAGTAGAACAAAATGGCGTCGCCCTGCTTCGGATGAACCGTCAGGCCGCGGTCGTCGAACGCCCGAGGGAAGACGGTACCTCCGCCGTCCCCCAAATAGATCAATAACGTCGCGAGGCGGTCTAAGCCTTTCTCCCGGGTGAAATCGTAGTGGGGGGCGTACTCCTGACCCTGCTCGTAGCGGACAACCTGGAGTTCCTCAGCAGATCTGTGAAGAACCTCGTCGGAGACGTTGAGGATGTCCGCAAACTTGAGATGCATGGCCTCCAGCTCCTTTGTTGTGGATCGGGGGATAAATGTCATCTTGGAGGTTCGAGTCTTCGACTCGAAGCCTTGCGAGCTATCTTCTGTGACACCGATGTAGGAAGCGTGCAGCTTGTCCTTGCTAACTTCAATGACATGGGTGCACTCCTCTGGGGTCAGCAGGTTCTCAATCAGGAAGGCTCGTGGACCAACAGGATTCCAGGATAACGCGAGTAAATCGCGCGTCTCGTTCAGCCCACGGGCGTTCACGGTGTGGACCGCCTGCTTGATTTACAATCTGCAAAAATTCGACGGCCCCTAGAGGACCATATTTGCTGCGAAGCGTAGGTGTTCTTGCCACACGCAACAGGTCTGGTCCGAACATCCCCACTGCTACAATCATAGAATTCCGAATTCCACTGCTAGGGATTCTTGCCACACGGAAAGCAGTCGTGCACAACATCGGGTGTGGTTTTCATGCGTTATGTGGGTGCACTTGGACACGTACAAGACACGGCATACTCGTGCGCCCAAGGCCACGCCCCCTCGTAATTTGCATCGCGCTCGCGCTCCCGAGGCCCGAGCCCCTAGCAAGTTACAACAACCCCTGGCGTCGCAAGCCAGTCCCTTGTGCATTGAAACAGGTCCGTGCTCTCGAAGGAAGGACCCGTTGCAACCAACCAACAAGTCTGTGCCCCCGAAGCATACTCCCATTGTGCATTAGTGCGGTTTCGCGCTCCCGAGGCTACAGCCCCTCATGCATTCATGCATTACACAACGCTCGCTCCTGCGAGGCCACGTTCTTGAGCAAGTTGCGTCACGCTCGCGCCCCAGATGCCACAACCCTTTGGAAACATTGCTACGAATCCGCGCTCCAGGGGCTACAGTCCCAAGTGAATTACTTAGTGCTTGTGCCCCCGACGCCACTGCCCATTGTAGATTACGACGAGCTCGCGCTCCCGAAGCCGAGTCCGCATTTTGTGCATCACAAAGCAATCACAATACCGCAGCAGTACATACTTGTTCAAACATTACGGCGCATTCGCTTTCCTGAAGCCACAACCGTTGATACAGTGCAGCATGTTGCGCTCCCGAGGCCACACCCCCGTGTACATTACAACGCGGTCAGGTTCCCGAGGCCACACTGCACTTTTCAGGTTGCGACAGATTCGCGCTCCCGAGGTCGCAACCTCTCGCACTACATTCGGATAGATTGTGCTCCCAGGGCAACAGGCCACACACACTTCAACGACTTCGCGCTCCCCAGGCCACAGACTTTGCGCTGTCGCTCCCAAGGCGTCTACACCTGGCAAACTACGTCGCAGACGCGTCCCCGAGGCCGCAACCCCATGTAAATAACCGCGCGTTCGTGGTCCAGGGGTCGCAGCCCCCGGCGTGTTGCAACTTGTTCGCGCCCCCGAGGCCACTCGTAAGTTGAGCAAATTCGCGCTCCCGAGGCCACTCACCCACCCCACGGAGGCTGCCCAGACGCGCCACCCCCTCTCCAGATCAGAACACCTGCAATTTCCAGCATTTGTACGTGCTCGCTGCTCGGCTCCCCTACCGTTTCCGAAAGACTCGGGCGCTGGACCCCGGCGCACGCATCCTTGAAAATAGCTTGTGAAGCGCGCTCCCGAGGCCGCGAACACTGCAACTTACAATGGACGCGTGCTCCTGAGGCCACCATGTTTCAACCATGGCTGCAAATCGTCGCAACCCGCATGCCAACACTAACTGTCAGCAGTCCGTTCCGGCGACAGGCCAACAAACCTCGTTTTCATCCAGCCAGGCGACAAGCCAGTCCACGACTCAGCCGAACCAACGCAGCCACACACGCAACCGGAGCGGGGCCTGGGGCGGCGGCGGTGGGCGAAGCCCTTCCGAAGATTGGGTTTTCGCGGCACAGGGCCGTGCGGAAGGACGGTCTGTGCTGCGTCCGCTCTCTCCGAAGCAGTGCCTGCACTTCGGGGGCTCTCGCTTGGCGCTCACCGCCACAAGCACTCGTGGGGCTGTCGACAACGAAGCAGCGTGGAAAGGCGGCCCGTGATGCACCCCTTCTCCCCGAAGCGGTGCTGGCACTCGGGAGCTCTCGCTTAGGGGCTCAACGCAGCGAGCACTCAGGGTTGTGGATGCCACGACAATGGACACCCTAACAATCCTTAACAGTCCGATCATTGAATTTTAAATGTGTTCAGCATGTCGGAGAAATGGTCTAAACCTGTTTTGAACATGTTTTTTTTTGACATGTTTAAAACATGTTTAGCACATGATTTCGACACCTGGGAATGGTTTGGCAACACGCTTCCTCTCCATTGCTCGTCCTCCACAAACTTCGGGGCCCTCGCCTGCTGTCCGGGGCAGCTCTGCGCGGGCGCGCCCCGACTTTTCGCCGCGCTCCCGCCCCTGGGCGCCCCGTGGGCGCTCTTGGGAGCGCCCCCCTTGTGCCCCGGGTGGGCCCGCCGAGGTCTCGCCGCGTCCCCGCCTCGTGGGCGCCCCGTGGCCCAGGGCTGGACCTAAAGGTTCTTTTTCGCGTTGTTTCCGTTGTGTTGCTCGTGTTGCCCTACGCTGGTTTCCTGTACCTCCCTGCCAAAATCCGAAACACAAAACGCAGCCGAAGTCCAACAAAGCAACGCTTGGGTCCCGCCCTGCCGTGGCGTTGGTTGGCCCGCCGAGGTCTCGCCCACAGTGCCACCTCGTCAATGCCCCGTGCTTTGGGTGGGCAACATCGTCTGGATATACAACATAGCTCACACCGCGTCGCTTACGCCGCAGAGCTTAAACGGCGTAGACAACACCACGTGGCTGGCGCTGCATAGCTTGCGCAGCACAGATCACGCCACAAATATCGAACCCGATATCTCACACAACATGGCTCATACCACCAAATTTACACAACACAACTGGCACCACATGACTTACTCCGCGTAGCTTGCACAACGTCGACTGCAAGCGCTGTCTGTTTGGGGTCCACGCTGACACACATCTTTGTGCAAAAAGCGAGCGAAGACCACCTGACCGATGCTGCTGCCAGCGGCGTACATTGGATTTGACGGGGGGTCAGGAGGATGCGCCCCCAGCCAGGGTATGCCGCTCATCGCAGTATATTCCTCTTCCAGCTTGGCCTCACGCTGGTGCATCGCATACTCTGGGCTTCCGAGCGCACTTTCATCTGTTGGCAGCGGCTCCACCACATATCTTCTCTGTTTTGGATCCATGACAAACCTCGTGACCAACTCGTCCTTGCAAATAACCTTGAACGCATCGCCAGGGTATGTCGTCATTGAGCTCGTCGTGCCCATCGCCTGGATATTCCCGCTGAACACGCCGTCGGGTGAACCGTCATCCCAAAATACGTTGCAGGGGTCGCGCCGGAAATTCTTTATGACCATACCAAAGGCAGGTCGTACGTTCACTGGACGCGCCTGGGACTGGAACCTGACTGCTCTGAGCTTGCCGCTGGTATGCAACATGTTCAAAGCTTCCACCATTGAGTTTTGCTCCATGAATCTCAAGTACGCCTCGTTTTGCCGATCCTCTTCCAAGGGCTCTACAACATAGGTCTGCTTACCCTGTCTCATCACGAAGCGAGACACTACTTCTACAGTCCCCTCCGCATCTTCCTCGACAAGTTTGAACTTGTGGCCAACGTATGTCTGCTCGACAGTAAAGGTGCCCATGGCAGGTATTTCGCCGATGCCAACCCCGTCGTCAGTGCCATCGTCCCACCTGAGCGCGAGCGTCTTTGTTCTGAAATTACTGAAAGACACCTTTCTCAAGGCCTGCTCACCTTGATGTCTGGCCGATCACATCGCCAACACACAACCCTTCTACAGCCAAATCCACACGAGATCTAGGTAACTCTGGAGTCCCGAAAAAGTGCGGTAACAGACCCTGCGGTGGCCTCGAAATCCCCCAAGTTCTCACCGCACGGTGCGTCAACGCACTGTTTTGGGACCTCGGATGCTCCAGTCGCCCGAGGCGTCTCTGGAGAACGACCCGAGTCCCAAAACCGTGCGGTGACCCCGAACCCCCACCGACTCACCACACGGTGTGGTCACCACCCCGTTTGGGGGCCCCCGAGTGACCTTCGTGATCAAACGATCCGGACGTCGGCCGAGAAGATCAAGCGATCAAGCGGACTTGATCGTGTGAGCAGCGACCACGAGGGCACAACTTATCATTGTGTCGCCGGAGCCCGGCCGGAGCGGGGCTCTGGCGGCACGGCGACAAGGGCCCGCGAGCGGGAATGCAAAGGATGCATCTTGGACGGTCCTGCGGCGCACGACTGTCTGGTCCAAGGGCGCACCACCCTCGAGTCGGAGCTCTCGGAATCTACGAGGGACGGTCCTTTGCCCACCACCGTCTGGGCCCAGGGCGCACCCATCCTCGAGCGGGTACGCATGGAATGCGCATGGGACTATCCTGGGACGCATCAGTGTCTGGCCCCAGGAGGCGCCGCCCTCGAGCGGGCCGGTCGGAATGCACGCGGGGCGCTCCTGGGACGCACACCTGTCTGCCCCCAGAGCGCACCGTCCTCGAGCTGGCCCGCTCAGACTGCCTACGGGGGTTCAGGTCGGCCCTGTGACACCCGCCTTAACGGGACGCACGCGGCTGTGTGTGGTTTTCGGCGCGCACCGGGCCGCTCGGGTCGGGATCTGCAGGCCCGACTGGACAAAACCGTGTGTTATGCAAACGCTACCACGGCCCCATAGATCAGACTTAGGACAAGAAGGAAGGCTAGTAGGCGCAGGCTCCGCATCATCAACAGCAGACGTGTTCGAGGTGATGGGCGTAGCGGCAGGTGCCAGATTCGGCAATACTGCAACAGCGTTCAGGCCAAGCAGGGACGGGCCGTCTCGTCATTCCTGTGGGCGTTGACATGTTCTTTACACAGAAGGAACGTTCAAATAGCAAGCATGTTTTCATAACGCGAGCCCGATGTATGCAATCAATGCAGGTTGTCTTAAACAGGAACGGTTTAAAACAATTTCGTGTAAGCGACAACACGTACTTAGAACATCCTTCGGTGGCCCTATGCCCAGACCCTCCGACGTTGTGACTTTTTTCGTAGCATGGACCCCGGAGGCCTCGACCCCTTCCATGGGTTAAGAAATTCATGGTCTCAGAACTTGAATAAAAACCCAACATTTCCATCAAAATCTTAGGATTTACATTGAAACGTTAAGAATAATCGAGACTCTGGCCGAAAACTTAGGTTTTCTTAAGCATCGCCTAAGGTGTAGCTTCAGGGGCTCGGGGCGCGAGACGCGGCCTCCTTCGCGCGCCGGCGCCGCGACCCTGCTGCAGGGCAGCGCGGCGGCCCGGGCCGCGCAGCGCCCGTGGCACCTCCGCGCCCCTGGCCGTGGCCGGCCTGCCCCGCCCGAGCGCGGCCCCCGGCCTGGCCCTCCTCCTCCCCCTCCTCCTCCTCCTCCTCCCCCCTCCTCCTCCTCCTCCTCCTCCCTCCTCCTCCTCCTCCTCCTCATTCTCCTCCTCCTCCTCCTCCTCCTCCTCCTCCTCATCCTGCTTCTCCTCCTCCTCCTCCTCCTCCTCCTCCCTCGACGCTGGTGGCCGCCCCTCCTCCGGGGGCGTCCCGGACGGGGGCGTCCACCCTGATTACCAGCCTCGAACTTTATCCCTATCCCTAAGATTGACATGCCAAAAGGCGATGACAATCTCAGGGATCCGCCCTCAAAAAATGAGGGGATCCCTAAGATTGGCATCGTGATGAGGAGGTGCCCAGCATAGGGATATGGATATGTTCCAGGCTGGTAACCTGACCTTCCAGGAGGGCTCAAAGATAGCACCAGGACGTCGACGTCCCAATTCCTGTCGAGGTTTGAGGCGGTCTAGATGGATCTATAGGTCTGGAGTGCTATTTTTCAGCGCTGTGGAAGGTCAGGGCAGGAGGCTTGCTGGTACGCAGCGGTACGGTCGAGCACTTTTGCTCAGCTTGTCGCGGCGGCGGCCCCGGCGACTCGCTACGCTTTGCAAGCGGGTCGCGTGTCGCTCCGCTCCGCGCGGCGGGAGGCCAGGAGATGCTCGGCGCGTCAATGCCTGGGGACCGCGCAGTGGGTAGCGTGTCGCGCCGAAGCGTAGTGGACCATAGCCGGCGGAGCGACACGCTCGTCAGGAGTTCCCGACTGTGTTGGTACCCCCCCTCCAACACACACATGCGACGTCTGGATTTTTTCCATGCGCGGTGCCCGGAAGCCCCGACCCTTTCCCTGGGACCGGCTTTCCCAAGACACCTTGCTGACCGGGGGGTGCCATTGTGGTGGTCGGGAATCGTTCTGGTCGAAGGACGGGCGCGCAGAGACGTCCTCAAGAAAATGTGGTGGTCCAGGCCGTTTCGCGTGAGACAGCCTCACCACTCTCGATTCTGAGTTGGCCAGGATTGTGCGTTTCGCCTGAGACATCCTCGCTCCGAGATGCCGCGCGCGAGGTGGTCCAGCGCGTTTCGCCTGAGACATCTTCGTAACCCTGGGCTCCAAGACGCCGCGCGCGAGGTGGTCCGGCCCGTTTCGCTTGAAACATCCTCGCAACTCTGAGCTCCGAGATGCCGCGCGCGATGTGGTCTGGCCCGTTTCGCTTGACACATCCTCGCAACTCTGAGCTCCGAGATGCCGCGTGCGATGTGGTCTGGCCCGTTTCGCCAGAAACATCCTCGCAACCCTGAGCTCCGAGATGCCGCGCGCGATGTGGTCTGGCCTGCTTCGCCAGAGACATCCTCGCAACCTGAGCTCCTAGCTGCCGCGCGAATGGTGGTCTGGCCCGTCTTGCTTGAGACATCCTCGCCACTTTGAGCTCCGAGATGCCGCGCCAGAGGTGGTTTGGCCCATCTTGCTTGAGACATCCTCGCAACTCTGAGCTCCGAGATATTGCACGAGAAGTGGTCTGGCGCGTTTCGCGTCGAGGTGGTCCGGCGCGTTTCGCTTGAGACATCCTCGCAGCTCTCAGCTCCGAGATGCCGCGCCAGAGGTGGTTTGGCCCATCTTGCTTGAGACATCCTCGCAACTCTGAGCTCCGAGATATTGCACGAGAAGTGGTCTGGCGCGTTTCGCGTCGAGGTGTTCCGGCGCGTTTCGCTTGAGACATCCTCGCAGCTCT